GTGAACCCCGGGCCGTGGAAGTGGAGCACGTGAACTTAAGTGTTATGCCACTAGGCCGGCCCCGATAAAAAATGATAAATAGCTTTTATCTGAAGCTATACTATGTATAACGAAGTGTCTTTCAGAATGTGAATATTACCGTAGTTTAAAAGAATAGTAGAATGAACATACAGTGATCTTGAACATGTCACTACTTCTGAACTTCAGTGTCTTCTCTTGCCCTTCCTACTTCTAAAAGTTGTAAAATTAACACATAGGTGTGAAAGTGTATTGTTCTTTTAAAACATAGGTATTATTGTCATTAACTTTGTTCTTAAATATCAACTGATCTTATATATAGGAAGTAATGTCACGTATAAGACAATAAGGTCATATTAGATAACATAAGATCAGATTATAATGTTTTAGTTTTATTCTCCTATCTTTGAAAAAATTAGTATACTATGATCTCTTCATTTAACAAAACTGAGAAAATCATGGATTTTTTTTTTATCCTACTATAATATCCATGATTTTAATCCTTGTTATCTATTCCTCTTATCATCATTCAGAGTAATCTCTTAGTCTTAGAAAGCAAACTCAGTTTTTATTTCTATAATTTTATTTATTTATTTATTTTTCCCCCAAAGTCCCAGCAGATAGTTGTATATCATAGTTGCACATCCTTCCAGTCGCTGTATGTGGGACGCGGCCCCAGCATGGCCGGAGAAGCGGTGCGTCGCACCCGGGATCCGAACCCGGGCCGCCCAGCAGCGGAGCGCACGCACTTAACCGCTAAGCCACAGGGCCGGCCCAGTTTTTATTTCTTAAAAGTGAAAAAGTAGGGGGACAGGAAATATGAAGTAAATATGGGAAAATATTAGCATTTGTCAAATCTGAGAGATGGATACATGGGTGTTTGTTATACTATTATGTTGGAAATATTTCATCATTTAAAATATAATATGAATTAGAAAAAAGAGAGTAAATTTATGACTTGTAAGCAAGCCCTAAAGTTATGTTTAGTCAAAATATTATTTAGTTTCCATCTGAATATAGGATTCAGAATCGTATTTGTTTCATTCCCCAAAACTATCCTAATATGTCCACACATGCACTTTTCTGGTCATCCCAAACAGATCCCCACTTACTGCCTTAGCATCCTCTAATTGATACTTTTGCAAAAGGGTCCATTCTCATTAGACTTTTTCTTGTATGACCTGTCATATGACTGAAAAAACTAGACAATCACTTTGATTAGGCAATGGATGGAACAAATACTTAACAAGCAGCCTGAGGTTCTAGTCCTTGCTCTGCCACTTACTGCTCTACCTAGCCTTTAATATGCTACTTTGCCTCTCTAAATATTACTTTTCTTTTCTGTAAAATGGGCATAATAATACTTATTCAATCTACCTCACAGATTTATTGTGAGGTAAGGAATTATAGCATGCAACATAAATGAAGATATAGACCCTCTGACTATTGTCGTACATTGGTACCTGTCTCTCTACTAAGCCATGATCTCATACTAGATCCCAGACACCAGACGTATGTAACAGAAAGTAGAGTCAAAGAGAGGGGCAGAGGGAGATAGATAAGGGCAGGATCCAAAGAATGTGCTCAGCTGTGATACTGAACACAGTGACCCCCAAAGACATTTCCAACTTTGAGATTCAGTGATTTTGTGAATCCACCAGCCACAGAGTAAAAAGCAGCATTGAGTATATTCTTTGAAACATAAATTACAGTAAGGATTTTAGCTTATTTAGTCCCTTTTAGTTTATTTCTACAATAAAATTTAGAAATAATAATAATAAATTAGAAAATTTCATATGGAGAGTTGATGACTCTGTGGTTTTACAAAACAGGAAAAAAATCTTTCCCAGATAATTTGAAATGGGTTTAAAAAAAAAAAAAAAAAGAAAAAGTATATTTATTTGCAGTCATCAGCTAGCCTGTCCCAGGACCTTTATCCACCCACAAAGATTAATACCACGATGATGTACATGTCACTGCTGCTTTGTTTCCAATGACTTTACCATAATCTTCTAGAGTCGACATGTTATAAATGACATATGATAAGATTGGTGAAATTAGCTCTTTATACTAATACAAAATTGTATTTTGTTGATCATATGCATTGTCACCTGAACCACATTTCATATCATCCTGTGCTTGTGATGTTCCCTTTTACTCTATAGGCCAGCCAGTTGGCTCAGCTTAATGAGATTCAGCAAGGCAAAGGGCCGAGAGCTCTGGGCATGCAGTGATCAGGAACCCATCATGTGCATATCTTATAGTATTTCAACACAATAGAATAATGTTATCTTTTTTTCCTAAAGAAAAATGAAAAAGATTGATGAAAAATCTGTTCAAAATACTTAGTTCAAAAATATTTTAAATACATCCATTATTGAATATATTTCTAAGATGTTTGCCCAACCAGTTTAACTTCGAAATTCATGTCAGGGATTTTTTTTTTAATTTGTATGTTTTACACATATATCCTACCTTCATTGAGTACCTGGGTACCTCTTTGGCTGCATAAGCAATTAACTGGATGACTTTATTATTTTTTTATTTTTCTTTTTTTTTCCCCCCTAAGCCCCAGTAGATAGTTGTATGTCATAGCTGCACACCCTTCTAGTTGCTGTATGTGGGACGCGGCCTCAGCATGGCCGGACAAGCAGTGCATCGGTGCGCGCCCGGGATCCAAACCCGGACCGCCAGCAGCGGAGCACGCGCACTTAACTGCTAAGCCACCGGGCCCGCCCTAACTGGATGACTTTAAAGGGTCTCTATGTTGCTAGGTTGAACCTCATATGAGCCGTTTTTTCAAACTTTTACTTTTATCTCCTCTCCTTGGGAGCTCGTTCCCCAGAGCTGAGCATTCCCCGGTACTCTCATGAACAGGCCAGTGCTTGAGGAGAAGGAGAATTTTATCCAGATCCAGTAAGAAAACCTAACAGTAAACGAAACTATTCAGGCTGGAACCAGGCCTAGCTTGCTATTGAGCCATTTGGGCTTTTCTCATATAGTTCTGTGATGTATGTATTTGAGGCCCAATCTATGATTTTCTTCTGTGTTAGTCATGGATCTTCTCCTCAATAAAAACTGCCAAGCATGATAAAGTTGAACTTTGCCAGGTTGTCAGGTATGTTTGTATGATAAACTTCTGTCACTACTGCAGCAATAATAACAACTAACCTTTCTTGAAAACTTAGTTTGTCAAGGTACTATTCCATAAACTGTTTTCTATGTATTATGTCAGTTAATCCTCATAATAACCCTGTATTATCCCTACTTTATAAATGGAAAACTAAGGCAAAGAGAAGTGAAGCAACTTATCCAAAGTTCTACATCTAGCAAGTAGCAGGATTTAAACTTAGGCAGTCTGACTCCAGAGTTCACAATCTTAATCTCTGTGCTATGCCACCTCTCAACTAGCTTATCTCTTGTAGAGTCTGGGAAGGTAGCCTCTCGGGTAAATCTCAAGTTCCTCCCGTTATCTCCGTCACCCCTGGATAAAAAGTGAAATGACGTCCTTGTTACAAATCTTCTCCTCCCTCTCTTCCTCCTCCTCTCACAAGAGGTTTAGGAGAACATATGCTATCTTATTGAGACATCATTTGATTTCAAGTTAACAAAACCTGCTGAGGCTAGCTTAAGCAAAAGAAGGATGTTGGGGAAGATGTGGGGTTATCTCATGGAACTCAAGAGCAAGAATTGGCTTCAAGAGGGACCAAAAGCAAAAACTAGAAAATCAGAAGTTACGATTGCTCCCTTTTTAGATGTACACATTAGATGTCCGTGGGAGAGAAGGGGAAACACCCCTTTTCCCCACAGGGTGAGAAGTTCTCAGAAAACGAGGGTGTAGCCTGGACAAATATTCCTCAAAAGGCGCCTTTTCTGTACTCCATCATTTGAAGGGAAATGCAAGTTCAGTGCATGTGGCCCAGTAGCTTTGTATGGATTTAAAATAGTAACTAAACAGTTCCTTTCAGCTACTCCCTGCCTTCCTGCCCCTCCATCAGCCCTCATCCTGGCATTTAGTTTTTTTCTCACTTGATCAATCTCAAGTTAGGCCTTTGCATCCCTTTTAACATCTAGAGGATAAGACCACTGATTTCGCTCCGTCTCTTCTTCCCAGGCCTTTGACCCGTGTAATCAAAGGGCCTGGTGCACTTGTCTTTTCAGTTGACTGTCAGGAATTTGCCTACTTTCAATCCCTAATATTCATCCTGTCCCTTACCCTCTCAGAATATTTCATACAGTTTCTACCTTCCTTGTTCTTTTTTCTCTACCCTTTTAAAATTTCCCCCAATAAACACCTATTGGCTCTTCCTATTTTTAGGGAACCCCTCCACCATTTTCCTATTAGATTAAGTCCAATTTCTTGAGCTTGAGGGCCCTTCAAAATTGTGTCTTATCCCAGTCGTTCCAATTCAAGTCCTTCACTCTAGACTGTCCCCACTGATCTAGAAACACCAGGCTTCACCACAAGCTGGTCCTCTTGCTTACAAGACCCTTTTCCATTTCTTTCCACCTGTAAAAGTCCAACACATTTCTCAAGACCTTACTAATTTAAGTCATATTCCCTCTAAATATTCCTGTGTGATCTCTCCAACACCTAGGGTGACCAACTGTCTAGGTTTGCCTGGGACTTCCTAGGACATGTGACTTGCAGTACTAAATCTGGGATATTCCTAGGCAAACTGGGATGGTTAGACAGCCTAAAACCTCACTGTCTCCCCTGCTTATGCTGCCTTGTTAGATAGAGCAAAAAGCCCTGTGAAAGTACCAGTAGCCACAACTTCCACACTTGCAAGGTTCTTTCTCCACAATAAGAATTATGCTCCTGTTGGGCAGAGACCCTTTTGATTCCCACTTCATATAGAATATAGAGCTGTACTCATGTTAATACCTACTCAGTGAATAAGGTGGTTTAGTTTTAAGTTGGCCCTATATCTAAAATCTTTTCCTTATGTGTTAATTTATTTGTCTTTATTTTTTTCCAGCCCAGATGACTTACTCAATGCCTTGAATGAGGGTATCAGTCGTGCTGATGTCATCATCACATCAGGGGGTGTGTCCATGGGGGAAAAGGTATGAAAAAATGGAGCTCATGAAAATTTATCCAATGTAATATCCTTGCACATGGTTGATTAACTATAGTCTGGTAGACATCCGGTATCCATAACCAGACTTCCACAAAGCTGAAAATCCACAGGGCTTCAGAAATTTCTGGGCATTCTAAAAGGGACGCACTGTGGGTAGATCAGAGAGCTTACCTTAGGAGCAGCATGGAGAATCCCACAACTTGCAGAATAGTTTTGATGTTCCCCTGGAGATTTCTGGTTTTTGCTCACTCAACTTTACTACATTGACTTCCTCTATATGTGATATTTACCCCCAAGGTAAAGCTCCAAGATCCTTCCTTCTGCTTAAATTTAAAGGTGACCTCCCCCATCACATATTCCAAACCTCGTAAAGAACTTTTAGCTCCCTACAGGGAAGAAAGAGAGGATTAGGCATTCCTTTTCCCCTCTTGACAAATGATAATAATCATAATCATAATAATGAAAATAAAGTACAAACATTATATATGTATATGATTTTATAAGACTAAGTATATTTGTATATGGTGTATGCTTAGTCCTATGAAAATCACATTTGAATATCTCAGTATCATTAAGTTTACATATCTTAATGAAACGTGTTGGTTTGTGATGATTATTGGGTCCATTGAATAGTGTTATAAAAGCAAAATATTCTTTACTACAATAACCAACCTTATGTTCTGGCTCAAAAATATTTCAGATTACAAAATGTTTTGCCAGCATACAATCCTTTTCCATGTTTTCTTTCATCTCATATTAATGCTTGAACTGAAAAATTATAAAAATATTGTAATAATGGCAGTTTTTACTAAAATTCATATTTTCCAAGAGTTTGATTTATTTTTAGCTAGATCTTATGCTGTATGTGATTGTTCTTGGTCCCTGCCCTCTCTAGCTATAAAACTGCCTAAATTTATAACCTGACTCTTAGGACAGTGAACTCTATTGGCTCTGAGAACAAATGTAAGAATTCAGTAGCCTGAACAGAGAATGCCTGCCCTCCATTCACAACTTTAGTTTTAGAGTATTTAAGAATAGCACTTCAGCTGCCAAAATCCATGGAAGAAAAAGAATCTCAGTCCAAGACTACCATCTCAGATTACATCCAGGAGTGCAGGCGTTGGAGTGTGAGTAGGTATTCTTCTTATAGCAGGGCAGATTGCTGGGTTAGTCTTCCCTCAAAGTCTCCTAGAAGTCTTTAGCCCCAGGTGGAGCAAATTGCTGCAGACCTCTCCTGGGATCACAAAGGCTAGGGGCTGAGGTCTGCATTGTAGTAGAGCTCTAAAAAATAATTTACAACATGTCTGTTTTCATTACCATCAAACTGCCTCTGTTACTCTGAGTATCACAAGAGCAAACCCTGAAGTTAAGAGTACTTAAATGTTAAATTTGTTATTTCCAGGGAGTATTTCGTGTATGATTTATCTTGGTTGCTAATGAACTTAATTGTGGGACAATACCTATTTGGCAGACCTAAAGTTGTCTTTTCCAATGCTTCTGAAGAGGCAACAAGCTTATAGCATACATGGGCTTGGCAATTATGGCTCAACTGTGGTAAGGAAGAGATAGAACATCTACTTCAGCCCAAGGGCTAAGCCTGAAAATCAGTCACTGAAAAGACAGGGAGGTCAAGGAAAGATCCAGAAGCATTATGTAGCAGGCATGAATCTTAAGTGCAGAAACTCGGGTATGCAAGAAATTTATTTACTTGATTTAACTTAAATCCTACTGTTGACCACTTATGCTACAGAACTGGCAGGAAATTTTATTTAAGCCATTATGGGACTCACCTCCTTCAAGAATTATGCCAAGGAACTGGGAGGGGCTTAAGAGGCAGCAGAGCATCAAGGAGACATCTGGTCACCATCTGCACTGGATACATCTAGAGTGTCCTTGTAGGGTCATTAGATCTCAGGTCTTTGTTCCTTTGGGCAATGCTAGTAGCACTGGGATCATGGGGAGGCTCAGAGCCTTGGGGCAGGGGAAGGGGGCCCCTGCTGCTTGTGGGATCCCCAGACTTCTATCCTCTTCTCAGCCAAAGAGAAATGACTCTTCCACGGTTACTTCCCTCAAAATCTCTCCCCACCCCCACATCCCCCTGCCCCACGTAGTCCTCTCAAAGAGTTTTCATTTTTATAAAACACTGAGTTTTGGGTAAACAGTGTCTGCTTTTTGCCCAGAAAACTAAAGAGTTATATGCCTTGCTATAAATTTTCCACAACCTACAGAATTGTAAAATACCTGAAAGACAATGAAAGATGCAGATAACCAAGAAGGATACACTAGACTGGACATCCAGTAATTTTTTGCCTATTTCAAAGTCTCTTAATTTTTCCTGACAGTGTCTCCCCAACCCCATATGATCAAAATAATCACCAAGATTATTATTGATAACAAAGAAAGACTTGTCTCAAAGTCTTGCCCTGATTATTTAGCAGCAAGAGTGTTAACCATATAGGCGTCTCTGAGTTTGTTTTGCAAATCTAGAGCCATAGAACAATAGAATATGAAAACTAATCAACAATATTCCAAACAAATAAATATAATATAATGTCCCTTATTATTTCATTCAGTCCTGTGTCATTCTTGTGCTGCTAGATGTTGGGTTAGCAGTCTGCTTTCACGAAGCCCTCTGCTTCCGTTCTAAAGAGTCCTGGGATTCCTGATTCAGTCCACTGGTACTGTATGAAAGTTATCTGAGCTATATTACTTCACTATCATAAGCCAGTACCCAAGAGACTATTCTTTAAAATGTCAATAGTTCAAAATACCTGTATGACAGATACTTAATGGCTGTGCTTAATTTATTACTGTAACCAGTAATATTAGAATAGAAGATAAGTGAAATTCTCTACTGGATACAGTATGTAACTATTTCATAAAAGTTTTGGTCAGTGTTTTCCCTGAGGGTGAAAACATATTATGGAGAGCAAGGGCATTGTCAAGTCTCCAGACACTTCCCGTAAAGCATACAATTTCTGAAATATTTATATTAATAACATTTTACCTATATGAATCTAATGCAGGGAACACTGAGCATCTCTTCTCAGATATGACAACAACTCCCCTTCCATGAAACTCTTACAATGGTAACATATCAAACAAACCTAATTATTTCTAACATCTCTTTTTATAAGATGAAAGAACAAATCTTTGTGATTTTCTAGGAGTCCTCTAGGAAATTTCAAAAAGAGTTTTAGATGTAAAAGATATTCTGAAATTTTTATTTTATCTTTTTCTAAATTTAGGTCTGATCTTTAGAAGGCAAAATCAAAAGAGTTATCACAAAATAATTGGATATTTGATTAAGATAGGATCATGGGTACCTGACAAACAGTACTTGGTTACTTAATTTTTCAAAGCAACAATAAAATATTTGAAAATAAGAATAGAAGGTAACATGACTATAAATAATCCTGGCTCATTCATAAGTGAGGAACCTTTGGTTTTTTTCTTGTTTTTTTCTTTTTTGGGGGGAGAGAAGACTGGCCCTGAGCTAACATCTGTGCCTATCTTCCTCCATTTTGTATATGGGATGCTGCCACAGCAGGGCTTGATGAGCGGAGCGTATGTCCGTGCCTGGGGTTCAAATTTATAAACCCTGGGCCGCCGAAGCAGATTGCACGAACTTAACTACTACGCCACCGGGCCGGCCCCAGAGAACCTTTGTTTTTTACTTTTTTATTTTCTTAAATAATCAAAGACAAAATAAAGTAAACATAAAGCACAAAAAGGCAGATTACACAAAAATAATAACCTTTAATATCATAGGGCAAGCATAATCAGTAAACCAAAGAAATAAGCTCATCAAACCTGAGTGAACTTACTAAACTTTTGATATATTTAGCAGTTTCATTTCAGATACAGGTATTATAAACCAAGGCAAATAAAAGTACCTTTAAAAGTTTTGTCCTTTATTATGCTCTCTTATATTTTTTGAACAAACTGACACTTTAGAACAGAGTGGTCTCCAGACCCACATCCCTGAGACCTTTAAGTGGGTCTGCAATGTCAAAACTATTTTCATAATAAAACTAAGACACTATTTGACTTTTTTATTCTCCTTCTCTCATGAATATATTTCTATTCATGTGGCTATATGATGTGTGATATCTCATCAGACTGAATGCAGAAGCAAATAAGAGAATCCAACTGACTTCTGTTAAGCCAAATGTTAGAGAGATTTTCAAAATTATAAAACAATGTGTAAAAAATGTTACTTATGTTAACATAAAATAGCTTCATCATTGCTGTTTCTAAATGAACCAACAAAGAAACATTTTTTAAATTTCTTAGTTTTAATTTCTAATACAGTAAATATTGATAGACATAACTTTCATAAACAAAAGCTCCAGGGATCCTTAGTAAATTTGAATTTAAGAGCATGTAAAGGGTCTTGAGACCAAATATTTTGAGAAATGGACTTTTTTAAAAAAATATTTTTTTTCCTTGAAAAACAAAAGAACACACACATAGTTATACTTCTCTGTCATTATTGCCCCTAGCATAATTGCAGCTCATGTTCATTATGATGTTTAAGAAAATAATTTTTATTTCATAGCAAAAACTAGGGGGCTGTAGATAACTAAGAAATCATATGTAAGCATTTTAGCAGACTAGCAAAGTTCATAAACACAGAGAATACAACTTTCTACAGCCACACACATCCCTTTTGTACCTTCTTAATGTAGCAAAGAAGAACAAACACATTCATTAACATAACCCAAAGATATAGCCTCTCTATAGTGTATAAAAATAAGAAGCAAAGTATATTAACTTAAGAACATAAGTATACTAACTTAAAATCAGACTTAGTAATCAATGATCCAGTATTCTATCTTACTTAGAAATCATCTAGGTATCTGATGATTATGCATTAATTAACTAATTTAATATCAGTTCAAGATTTTAAGTTACTTAAAGATCTTGAAAATTAGTTTCAAGCTGACGTACTACAAACATAATTACTATTGAAATTAAAAGTTTATCAGAATAATGATTTGATTTTGTTGAACCCGATTTTACATTTTTCACAATCTTAAATATTATGTAGGAATAGTGTTAGCTTATTTGATGAGTAAACCTATATAAGTTTAGGAAAAACAAACTTAATTGAAATAAAATGTGTTTGCCTAATTATACTTAACACTGATAAATAAGAGGAAGAACATGTCTCGGTTTTCTTAATAACCAAAATAATTAAGTTAGTCTCATTTGCCAAAGATTTACCTTAACTATGTGAACTTTGATTCTTAAAATTATAAGAAGAATGTTTTTTAGTGTAGCACATTTAAAATATTATAAGTTAAATTTTCTTATTATCTGGGAGTTTTAGGAATATTGTGTTTATATAAGCACTTATTTGTCTAAGTTGATCAGAACAGAGCACATTTAATTTCAGAGACAATGTAATTGTTTTGGTGAGTTTTCTTCTTTTTCCCCCTGGCAAAGCAAACTTTACTGTGGCCCTGAGGTCAGGGCTTTTCTCTCCAGGTCCTGCTGAAACTGGGGAGTTGGGGATGAGGAGCTCTTGTGTTGTCCACTTCCCAACACCTCCATCACATCAGACTCAGGTGGAGAGGGGTGGGGTAAAGGGGGCACCCTGAATCCACAGCACACCCTGAGGACAGCCCGCTCTACATGGTGGTCTCGCAGGCATATAATTTATGAATACCTTCCAGAAATAGGAAAACATTTCACACTCACAAGATGAAATGAACACCTTTTTGGATCACAGACACCTAGACACACAGACACATAAAGAACATATAGCTTCATCTCTACAACTTCAACCATAGGTCAAGAGTAAACACAGAAAGAAAAAAACTCATCAGTCTACCACTGAAGAGCTAGAGGTCACAAAGTTCTTAGTTGATTTGGTCTCAGAATGACAGTAAGACAAATAAATAAGGAAGGCTAATAAACCAGATCCTCTCTCTTCTTTTACCTAACAGAATAGATTTCTATCATCCATTTATAAGAATCACCAAATGGTCAGACCATAAAACCAAATTCCCAGTCATTGCTGCCACAAGGGGGAATACCTTATCGATCACACACAGACACAAATTAGAACCAAATCAATAGAGGGGGCAAAAGGAGAGAAACCAAAAGTCAGCAGAGTTCGTTTTATTGCTGCTTGGCATTCACTCCAGCAACCAAGGAAAGATGTGCCAGGTGTAAGCCACTCATAAAGTGCACTTCTCTGGGAATCAAGTTTACCTGGCTCTCTCAGGTAAATCAATAGGCCATCTCAATGGGGCCTCTAGAATTATTCAAGTATAACTTTCTAAAGATAAAATCATGAATCTCATAAATATATCAAATGAACACGTGTCAAAGATTTTATTTAACTCGTTAATTAATGAGGGAACCAGTAAGATGTTACAAGTGGTTCAAAGGAGAATTCAAAGAATACACACATAGGTAATCAGGAATGCTGAAATAAACTTGCTAATAGATGCAAAACTATTCTATATCCACAAGCGAATAATCAGGTACATCTCCATGGACAGAATTAATTTGCATTTCTTTGGATAATAATCATGTTCACTATCAATTTTCTACAGCTTAATTTTTCTAAAATAGCTCAAAGATAATGAAAAGCACAAATAACCCAGAAGGTTGTGCTACACTGCACATCCAATAATCTTTTTTGCCCATTTCAAAGTCTCTCTCAATTTTTCTGATGTTATTTGTTCTTACCTGAGTTGAGGAAAAGACCTTGCTCCTTCATCCATTCATTTTTCTTCTTCCTATCTGACTCTAGCTTTCAGAATATCCGACAGAGATCCTTGCTGCTTCTACAGGTAGACAAAAATTTAAGAATGATGATGATTGTCACTCTTTATTGCTATGTATAGTACAAGCTTTCCCTCTGTCACAAGAAACTTGAAGCATTCCTTCATGTTTAAAAGGAATGAAAAAGGACATGTTTAATAACAGAGGATTTTTTTTTCAAGAAAAATAAAATACTTGCATTCATTTTGCAAAAGCATATCTGCTTTCCAAACTCTATATCATAACCTTTAAGACCCTGTAGGTATATGGCCTCTGCCCATCTCTCCAACCTCACCTTATGCTTCTTTCATATTCATTCACTACCTTACATTGTCTTTTCAGTTTTTTCACTCTTTACTGCTTTAGAAGCTTTTGTATAGACTTCCCTCTGCCTGGAATTCTCATCCCTCCACACTTCACATGGCTGAATCCTCCTCATCTTCACCACCTCTTTTAAAATGGCCTCTCCTTATTCTTCACCCACTCCATTATTCTCTATCCCAGAACGTGCTTATTTCTTTCACAGCATGTACCACACTTTATAATTATTTTATTTGTTGGTTTACTTATTTTAAGCTGTCTCCTCCAGTAAAATATAACAGGACATCTTTGTGTCAGGGACCATGTCTATCTTGTTCACCATTAAATCTCTTGTATATGTAGAATTCCTGATACATAATACACACTCAAAAATATTTGTTGAGCTAATGAATGAATGAAAAGCGTGTGCTATTCATTAGGGATTCATAATATATATACAGGGTTTCTGTTCTCACAAACTTTATAGTCCAATAAAGGATACATATCAGTTATCAGACAATTGCAGTATAAGTGTGTGATGTCAGAAGGACATAATATTATAAGAGCACATAAGAAAGGTCTGGAGATTTTTGTTTCTGCTATGATGGAATGGCTTATTTAGACCAACTTTCCCACTAAGAACAAATATAAAAGCTACTTAAATTTTTTTTTCAATTTTTTAAAGAAGAAAAAGCAGGTATCTAAAGAGAACAATCATGACAGCCAAGACTCAAGACACTAAGATCTCAAAGAAAACTGAACCACAGAGAAGTAAAACTGGAATTCTTCACCATATTCTTCCTCACAGCATTTACTAGTTCCTAAGCCAGGGAGATAGGGGGAGGTGTAATGGTACAAGAGGCCAAGAAGCTAAGTATAACAGAGTAGCTAAGAGGCTAAGAAAAGAAGCAGAATTTTCAGCGGTCTTAGGAGTTCAGGGCCTGCCATGGAGGAGGGGCCCTGGCAAATATCTCAGGCTTTCAGTTTAAATCCTTGAAAGGCTGTGCTCTAGGAATAAAGACAAACTGGAAATAAACCAGCCTTCACAAAGACTGAAATTGAGCCTCAAATTATTTCAATCTCCCATTATATCAAGGTAATCTTAGTTTACCTTAACTAACTGCCAAAAGGAATTTAAATCCTTTCTGGAGAAATATATCATCATCCAGAACCTCTTCAATTTTTTTCATACCTAATGTTTGGGCTTTAGTTTTTTAAATTACCAGACATGCCAGAGACAGGACAAAATGACTAAAAGTTAAGAAAAGAAAACATGGTAGAACAGCCCTAAAAATGATCCTGATACTTGTATTATTTCATGTGGAATTTTAAAAACTGTAATTAATATGTTTATGAAAAAGAAATGACAAAATAAAGAAGTTCGCTAGAAAACTAGAATCTATTCATAAGAATCAAAAAATTTTAGAAAATTTTGGAAAAGAGGATAAGAGACATATGAGATATGGTGAAAGGTCTAACACATGTGCAACTGGAGTCCCAGAAGGAAAGGAGAGAGAGTGTGAGCAGAAGCAATATTTAAGAGATATTGTCAGAGAGTTTTCCAAAACTGATAAAAGACATCAAGTGAGAAATTCAAGGAGCTCTGCTAATCTCAAGCAGGATAAATACAAAGAAACCATACCTAGATAATTATAGGAAAACTGCTCAAAACTAAGGACAAAAAGAAAGTCTTACCAGAAGGACACATTACCTTCAAAGGGTGACCAACAGTAAAACTAACTGAAATGATTTTAACAGAAATGATGGAACTCAGAAAAAAAATGGAATGGCATTTATAAAGTGCTGAAAGAAAAGAACTGCTAGTGTGGAACTGTATATCCAGCAAAACTTTCCTCCAAAAATGAAGATAAAATAAAGACGTTTTCAGCCAAACAAAAACTCAGCAGACTTATACTAAAGAGTTTTTAGGCAGAAAGATTATGGAAGCATGGAAATGCAGAAAGGACTAAAGAGCAAAAGAAAGGGTTACTATGTGGGTATATGTAAATAAGTGTTGATTGTATAAAATACTAATGCCTTGTGAGGTTTAAAATGTATATAAGTATTGTATATTAAATATAGAGTATATATTGTCTGTATAGTATATATAGAGAATATGTATATAATAGTTTAAAAATATATATACATATATACACACATACTTAAAATGTATACAGAATATATGGTACATGATAGCAGAAAAGGCGGGGAGGAGTAAATAGAGTTAACATGTTTGTAAGGTTCTTGTATTGTCTGGGAAGTAATAAAAATACCAAATTCTGGTAGAATGTAATAAATCAAGAATGCATGTTGTAATCTCTAAAATAACAACTAAAATAATGAAAGAATGTATAACTAACAAGCTAATTGAAGAGAAAGATGTTAAAATACAAAAAAAGAAAAATCGAGGGGCTGGCCTGGTAGCACAGTGGTTAAGTTCGGCATGTTCCACTTCAGTGGCCCAGGATCGCAGGTTTGGATCCTGGGTGCAGACCAACACTGCTCATCAAGCCATGCTGTGGTGGCAACCCACATACGAAATAGAGGAAAGATTGGAACGGATGTTAGCTCAGGGCCAATCTTCCTCACTAAAAAAAAAAAAAAAAATGGTAAATCCAAGAGAAAACATGAAAGAAGAAAAAAGGCAATAAAAACAGAAGTGACAGATAACAGTACAGTAACAGTTTTAAACCCAAATATAGCAGTAATTATATTAAATGTAAATGGACTACATCCTCTAATTAAAAATTATCATTCTGGATTTAAAAAGCAACGAATCGTATGGTGCTTGTAAGAGACCCATCTTAAATATAAGGACACAGCTAATTGAAAGTAAAAGATCAGAAAAAAGTTACAATTAACGATAGCTGGTGTGGCTGTATTGATAACAGAGAAAATTAAGGTACAAAGAATTAGTAGATATTAGGAGAGACATTTCATATATTTAAATGGATCAGTTCATCAGGAAAATATAACAATTCTAAGTTTATTGCATCTAATAATATAGCCTCAAAATAAACATAAATAATCAATCTATCAGCTAGCCTTGGGACTTCAGGGAAGCCTGAGAAGATGACTGAGACTGAGATAAGGGTGTGATGGAGAGAGAATGGTAGAAAGAAAGAGTATTCCAGACAGAAGGAAGAACATTTTCAAAGACTGGAGGCAAGAAAACTTTAGAAACTGAAAGCAATATCGTCTTGCTGGAATGGAGAAAGAAAGATTGAGAAAGAGGAATAGGGATGGGTGGGAAGAGAATTGCCTAATGAGAGCAACAATTGGAAAAAGGAGGCTAGAAAATACAAAAATCGTAGATATGATATTAAAAAGGTGAGACTTTTTCCTGGAAACCAGGAAGTAATTGAAGTATTATATAGTGACTTGATCGGATTTGTTTTTGGGAGATCCCTCTTACTACTGTGGGAGGAATGCACTGGAGGAGGACAGGACTACTGGCAGAGAGACCTGTGTCAATAATCCAGGTGAGATGATGTTGGCTGAGGCTGTGGAGATAAAGAAGGGAATATACTTTTAAAATAAAGTATCCCATAGCTTATGAAATATGTAAAATTTTAGTAGGTTACTAGACTCACTCTTAGATTAACGAACAAAAAACTCAGTAACAGACCTAGAGGTTGAGAAATTCTAAGGACTGCAATTTTTTTTCTTTATGTCTACAAAACCAACTGCAGGGCAGTGTTGCCTTTCATTTCAAAAGATCAGGTTTTGTCAACCTGGGTTGGTTGTAACCTTAGGTTGATTGTGTGCTTGTTAGCAGAATATTAAGTTGGAGCAATTAAACTCCCTTGACTTTCTGTTCTGGAGCTCCCTCTCTATTTTTTATTTTAGTTGACTTCTTTAGATTTGGTAATCTGTGGGCAAATATTCAAGTCTCTCCTCAAGAAATGTACGTTAAGTCCGTTAAGCAAAATAGTAGAGGATACATACATGTGGTTTCCCTGCCCAGACACAATTTCTTAAGCCATATTTGTTAACATCCTTTCTCAGACGTAAAATTCTGTCTGAAAAGAGAGATGATAACCCATCAAGTAATGATTTATATGTTAATGTGGTAATTTGGTTTAACTACTCATACTAGAATGTACTTTTTATGAGGGCAAGGACGTTGTTTCTTTTGTTCAAGGCTATATCTCCCTGTACCTAGTTTGGTACTCAGCATATACCAGGTGCAATAATATTTATTGAATGAATAAATGAGTGACTGAGGAATGAAGGGATGAAGGAATATTTGTCTTAAGCAAATCAACTTCACTAAAATAAGGTGTTTCTTTTCATTTCAATCTTATAAATCATTTTATTTTCATTTAAAGTTTTGAAAGTCCGCTATTAGAATGTTTGAAAGTAAAGTGATTATTTTTCATATTTGCAGGACTATCTCAAGCAGGTGCTGGACATTGACCTTCATGCTCAGATCCATTTTGGCAGGGTTTTTATGAAACCAGGGTATGCCAATAATCTTATCTCATATATGGGGTTGGTTTGGCTTGCTTTGACTAACAAAGTTTTAAATGTTTTCTTTTTACATTTTCTTGTATGGATTATTTACTTTAGTAAAAGAAATATCATAGTGTTAGACTTCTTTGCACAATTGTAGCTCCTATCTGAAATGCAAATTCATCTTCCTTATGAAACACTGGGTTTGATATAAATAAGGCAAAGCAACTTTCCAAACCTTTTCTCCCATTAATTCCCATGTCTAGTTCCTTCTTTCTCTTTTTCTCCATACTGCTTCTTTCTCTCTTTTTCAAAACATTTTAGTATGAAAATTCTCAAACATACACAAAAGTAGGCAGTACAATGAAACCCCCATGTACCCATCACCCAGTCTCAGTAACTATCAACATTTTACCGTAATTGTTTTATCAGTCCCCCGCCTCGCCTTTTTGGGAGGACAGAGGGCTAGACTGTTTTAAAGCAAATTCTAGGCATGTTGTTTTGGTATACATCTTAAACAATAACAACAACAGCAGCAGCATTCTCTTACATAATCACGATAAATAAATAAGAATACCTTTATATCATCTAATACCCTGATCATATTCAAAATCCTTCCAAATGTCAAGAAAAAGAATGCCTTCTTACATACGTTTTCTTTGAATTAGGATTCAAGTCAGGTCCACTCACTGTATTCAGTTGTTAAATCTCTATTAAACAAGAACATTTACTCCCCCCCTCCTTTTTTGTCATGCCATTGACGTGTTTAAGAAACTGAATAGTTTGTCCTAACGAGTGAATTTGGCTGATTGCTTCCTTGGGGTGGTTTAACTTGTTTCCCCTTCTCTCCAGTATATTCTATAGACTGGAAGTTAGATCTAAAGGCTTGATTAAATTCAGATTTCATTTTTTTTTCCCTTGGCAAGAATAGTTTATAAGTAGCGTTTCATACTGCTTCTTACTGCCTCCCAGGGGGAAAGAAAAATAACCACATACCAAGATCTTGCATATCTCCTAAAAACTAATAACTCCCTAGGGAAGAGCTGGTAGAGGTTCTGTAATTAGTTATAAATCCTCAAAGTATGCCAAACATTGGTGTTGATGAAATATGTATGGCCACGTCTTTCAGCAATAGTCTGCCTGTTCAGACCCCTGCTACTCTATAAACCTTTACTTCCCTATCCAAAGGCCTCAGTGTGTGGGTGAACATTCCAGCCCACCTCCATGCTGTCAGGGACAACAGTAATGATGCTTTAGTTCAGAATTATACTCTGATGGGTGCTCATGTGAACCCTAAGAGAGAGTATAGGTGAGACTTACCAGTTGTTACAAGTGAGCTATAGAGCTATCAGCAAATTCCAGAAGCCTTTTTTAAGTGTCAGGCTGGCCCTCCTAATCTCCCTGATTTATTGGGTACTTCATGTCAGTTTAGGACAGAGATCAGGCTTTAGCTCCATGATTTTGCCATTTAAGTATGAAGTTAAGGTTATCCCTAATGCTTTCTCCACAACTTGATAGAATTTCGAATTCTTGGCATTTTACGTCTGTAGTTGCCCCAATATGGCTGCTACTGACAAGGCCCTTTTGTTATTGAAACTGTTGCATTTGGATCATTCTTATTAAGAATATTTTGGGGCCGGCCCCGTGGCTTAGCGGTTAAGTGCGCACGCTCCACTGCTGGCGGCCCGGGTTTGGATCCTGGGCGCGCACCGACGCACTGCTTCTCCGGCCATGCTGAGGCCACGTCCCACATACAGCAACTAGAAGGATGTGCAGCTATGACATACAACTATCTACTGAGGCTTTGCGGGGAAAAAAATAAATAAATAAAATTATTAAAAAAAAAAAAGATATTTTGTATTAAGCAAATATTGTTATGCTATTGGCACACAGGGTTTTTTTTTTCCTGTCTCTATGGGCAGTACTAATTTGATTAGAATACAGAGGACATCCCAAAAGCATGTCAAGGTGCTTCTCACTAACTTCAAAAATTGAAATGATTATTCCTTTCACAGTGAAAAAGAAGCTAACATTACTTGCCCTCACCTCTAGAGGAGAATTATTTGTAATATCTATTGTTTAAATTAATCTCAGCACCTATGATATAATTTTGGTACTCTTTATTTTCAGTCTATTACTTACCACTTACTTCAACTTTAGGCTTTCATCAGTTCCTAACGTTTATTCTCCTCCCCTAAAGTCATAAGACCCTGTGACCTCAGTCGTTGTACAAATGCTGTTACATTCTGAGCTCAAGAGGAGAACTGAACAATAGATGCTGAGTTCCCAAGAAATGGCTTTCCAGAGCTTAAACAAACACTTCACATCTAGCAATAGGGCACTCATGATAGCAATGAACGAAAACAAAAAGTTTTATCGTAAGGGAATCTTTTTTAAATGGGTATCTTTAGAGAAATCACGGTACCTGTCTGCAAGATGCAAAAGATGGTTTAAATAGGCTTTAAATACAGTAAAAAGAAGGTGTTAAGCATCCCCTCCTCACTCTTACTATGTCTGTTAGTTTGCTGTAGTAACGTGGTTTAGAAGTTTAAATGGGCTTGTTTTACTTGGCCAGAATTTTATACTTGTCTAAAGATAGGAAGAATCTAGAGGTAATTGCTACTTAACGGTAGAACAAGAAGAAATATAAAAATCTCAAGAACAATTTAGCTTTGCACTTCCCACATACAGTGCATTCTGAATGCAATTAACCTTTTTCATTTTAGACACAGAAATACTCAAAAAAGCATCTGGGGTATTATCAACCAGATCTACAAATCACAATTTTTATGGATCATCTACAGTGAACATAGCTGTTGTCAAGAATGTGTCTTGGAAATTATTTTCATTACTCAGTAACAATCATTGCCAAATAACCTGTTTGTTGATATGACAATCTAATCTCATGTTTCTAAAACACAACAAAGAATTAGAAAGTAAGCAAAAAAGGCCTCAAAGTAGCCAAAAATAGAGGTTTCAAAGTCCACATACTAGCACTTCATAGCATACCCTATGAGAGCCTTATCCAATTATGAGCCATAAAGTTAGAAAAACCTCGGTTCAAATCTTTGTTTTCCCACCTAGTAGCAGAGTTATTTTGGCCAAATGGCTTAATCTCTCTGAGTCTCAGTTTCTTCATCTATAAAATGGGATGATAATTGTTACCTCATGGAATTGTTGTGAGAATTAAGTGAAATAATGGATGTAATGCATCGATGTTTCTTTAAAAATAGTAACTTCTATTATTACTATTATTATTGTCATTCTGACAGTATACTATTACTACTACTCTCTGGTTCCCAAACCTAAAGCCAGCTTTAAGGGTCAAGATGATGGCAGTGTCACATTAAGGGGAGCCACAGAAAAAAACTAGGGAAAAAAACAGAATCAAGAACTACAGAAACACAGCAGTGTGTGATATGGGGTTATGGTTTATAAATACCCCAGTGACCCAACATCACTGTATTATAGCAGAGTAGAATAAGTTAATAATGATGGTGGTGAATCATCAAAAAATGTTAATGTTCATCATATTATTACAAAAGCTAATGAGTGAGTGATCCATTTTTGAAAGACCAACCTGCAAAATTAGTAAAAATAAAAACAATTTCTGTGCTTAACAGGATAATTTTTCAACTATATGGAAATTTCAGCATTCCTTAAGGATTCTACATCACTCAAGTTTTATTAATGTAATGAAATTTTTAGCTAAAATTCTATATAAATGGTAGTCAATAGAAAAAAATCATTATTCTTAACTGCCTTCCCCCTCCATGCCACTCACGCTCACCTCTTTCCAAACCCCCATGATCAGGATTCACGTCAGAATCTTGAGAAAGTATAATATGAGACTATCTTTTAATTACTATTGCTTTAATTTTGTTCTAGTCATGGTATTTTACTTATTTTGACATTTCAAAAAACTCCCTTCATAGGAGGCAGGTTTTTATGTTTATTGCTGGGTATAGTTTTAAAGGGTTGAGAAATACTCATCTTGAACAATAGGCAGTTATCCAAAAGACATGTATTACCAGGTAGTACATAATAAGAATGACTGTTATAAATCCCCAGCAAAAATAGTATAGACATCATTAACTAGAGGGGTGGAGAAACTCCAGGATTTGGGATACGCTTCTAATGGCACTGGCAGGAAGGAAAAAAAGTAAGCTACAGAAAACCAGGAAGTTTGAAAACAGAAGATACTAAAAACCAATTAATTTAAAGGCTCTTGAAACACTTCAGAGTATAAAGGTCTAAAGAAGAGCCAACAACAAGGTATTTTATGTGATAAGTGTTCTATATGAAGAGCCATGTCAAGAAAACTGGAGTACTTAAATTACTGTCCATATTACTTAGCAGTCATTAACAAATAACCTCATTTTTCTCTAGCCTGCCAACGACATTTGCAACTTTGGATATTGATGGTGTAAGAAAAATAATCTTTGCACTACCAGGTAAGAATAATTGAAATAGTTTCTTTTGCTTTTTCTGGAAAAGTGACCAAAATCTTTTTGAATCCCAGGTGACCAGTCTCCTATCAGAGCACTTGATTTGGAATCTGAAAGACCTGGGCTCAAGTCCCAGCTTTACTTACTGTATGACCTTGGACAAACCACTTAGCCTCTCTGAAGCAGTTTCTTCATCTATAAAATGGGGCTAATATCCACTTCATAGGGTTGGTTTGAAAATCAAATTAGATAGTATCTTTCAGAGCACATTCCAAACACTAAGATGATAATTAAGTGTTAGCTGTCACTAAATCTTTCTGGGGCACTCGCTTTTCCTTATAGAAAATTGGTCAAAGTTAGCAGTTTAATCACCTCCCACAACTAGACGTATTGTGCTCAAGGGGCCAAAGGGCCTTGAATCACCTAGGCAAATACTCGAACGAAAAACACAAAGCTGCCTTTGATCCTTGCCAGATTGGGGGGGGGGGGAGCTCCAGTAGTACTGGTGCTTCTCAGCCAAATCCCAGGCGTTACCAGTCTGACCACCTCACCATCCCCACCCTCGCTCCCATGTGAGCAGAAACCCACATGTTCAGATTGTAGAAAAAGCAAAGGGGTACAGTTTGCAAGGACTTTCAAATTCAGTTTTTTTTATTGATTTTTGGCTGTGCGGTTAAAGCCATGCTTTTAAAGCTGTTACTAATCTTGACAAATTCTAAAGCAGTTTTAGAAGTTTGTAAATCTATTTGTTACTTTTTCAGTTTTTAAAATTACCCTCTGATCTGTAGCTGTCTCCCATTGTCTATTTTTTGTCACGGATTCCTTCAGAAAATAACCTACTTACTCCTTTAAGATGCACAAATCTGGTGGCTTTGAGATATTTACCTGCATTTTATATTAAATAAATCTCGAAATAGTGATATAAAGAAAGGAAGGCAGGCAGAAAAATGTAGAGTTTTAAAAACACTTTTAAAACCCGTATCTATAGGCATAAGAGATTAGATTTCTATCATATAGGAAATTTTAAGTAAATAGTAATAATAAATGTAAGTAATAAATAAGTGATGTAAGTAAAAAATGTAAGTAAAGTAGTCCTCAAAATGTATCTCTAGTATAGAACTCCTTAGGGCCTTTAGAGACCCTGAAAGCCATTACACAAAGAAATGTCATCCTCTTCCTGGCTTCATTTTGCCTAGAAGAGACTGTTTACTTTGTCTACAGAAGATATGACTTGACCTACAAAGAATGTTATAGTGGGAGCCTATTTCGCCATTACTTACAAAGTATTGTTGATCACCCAAAGAAGTTATAATTAAATAACTTTTTTTCAAATTGCTGCTTTAATTTGAAATTTTCTCTGCTCAGCCTGAATGAACCAAAAGAGGGCAGCAATAGCTCGCGTGTTCAGATTGTAGAACCAGCAAAGTGCTTCCTTTTACAAGGATTCTAAAATTCAGTATTGTATTGCTGCTTTCCTGAATGCCATGCATTTAAAGCCATTACTAATCTTGATCATTTTTAAAGCAGTTTAAAAGTTTTGTGTATCTACTTGCTATTTGTTTAACTTGTTAAAATTACTATAATAATGCGTTTGCTATAAAAACATTAGAAAGTACAAATAAGCCTTAAGAAATGTTATCCATAATCCTTCTCCCCTCTGAAATAACCACTATTTGCAATTTTTTGATTTCAGTCCTTCCAGTCCTTTTTCTTATATAGAGCAATTCATTTTTTGTGGGTTTTTTGTTTTTGTTTTTGTTTTTGTTTTTGTTTTGCTGAGGAAGACTGGCCCTGGGCTAACATTTGTGCCTACCTTCCTCCACTTTATATGGGACGCTGCCACACCATGGCTTGCCAAGCAGTGCATTGGTGTGCACCCGGGATCTGAACTGGTGAACCCTGGGCCGCCACAGCGGAGTGCGCGCACTTAACCGCTTGCGCCATTGGGCCAGCCCCGAGTAATTCATTTTTTGTAGAATAATTTTGTAAAGCAGTAGCATTACAGGAATTCTGTAATCATTGTTAAACAATAGCCAGGCCAAGAGAACCTAAAACTCTAATAGCTCATCCCCTACCCACAATATATACATACATACTCACATACTACTAAATAAAAGTAGTAATAAAATTAGAATTTTAGGGGCCAGCCCCATGGCCTATTGGTTGAGTTCTGTGCATTCTGCTTGGGTGGCCCGTGTTCATGAGTTTGGATCCCGGGCATGGACCTATACCACTAGTCAGCCCTGCTGTGGCAGCGACCCACATGCAAAATAGAGGAAGATTGGTATAGATGTTAGCTCAGGGCTAATCTTCCTCAAGCAAAAAAAAAGAGGAAGATTGACAATTGATGTTAGCTCTGGAAAAATCTTCCTCAGCAAAAAAAAATAAATAAAAATAAATAGAATTTTAGAGCCAGAAGAGATATTGAGAATCATATTGTCCCAACCTTTCATTTTATGGATGAGTAGTTAAACTCAGAAAGGTTTGGAACTCACCAGGGTCACACAGCTTGGTTAGTTAACAATACCACACAGCAGTTCAATCTGTTATGCTCAGCCCAGTCTTTTTTTTCATAGCCCACCTTTCCTCCTTTTGAAGTGCATGACATACCAAGATTTCTTCTTGGATAAGTACACTTGAATTCCTCAAATTTTTCCTATAACTTTAAAAGAACTTGGTATTTCTATTAGTCTGCTCAGGCTGCCATAACAGAATATCACAGACTGACTGGGTTAAACAACAGAAATTTATTTTCTCACAGTTTTGGTAACTGGAAGTCTGACATGAAGGTGCCAGCAACGTTGGCTTCTGTTGAGTCTTTCTTCCTGGCTTACAGAAGGCCACCTTCTCACTATGTCCTCATGTGGCCTTTCTTCTGTATATTTGCACTCCTAGTATTTCTTCCTCTTTTTATAAAGACATTAGTCCTATTGGATTAGGGCCTCACCCTTATGACCTCATTTAACTTTAATTACCTCTTTAAAGGCCCTATCTCCAGATACAGTCACACTGGGGATTAAGACTTCAACACATGAATTTGGGGGGAGCACAAGTCAATCCATAACAGTATTCATCTTCAAGTCCTTCAATTCTTAAATCACTTAGTTTTATTTTTAAAATTTAGATAAATTTCTGGGTAGAGGGGATTATGGATAAATTTATTTATGCTTATCCTATTTTCTAATTTTTTTTGTATTGAGCATGTGTTACTTTGGCAATTTTAAAACATTTAAAAAATAGCAAGTAGAATCTGCCTTAAAACTTATCAAGATTAGTAATAGCTTTTGATGTATAGCTCCCAGGAAAACAGAAATAAATAGTGTTCAATAGCTTCTGGACATCAGAAGTCTCCACGTTTCACTGGTAGACCCATGTTTACACCCTCTGGCATTTAGTTGACTTTAGCTCTATTCTGGCATCCTTTTAGATTCAAGGTGATTCAGAAGAGGAAGACTATTGGTTAGTCACTTCACTCTCTATGATACCTGAAGGTATAGACAGTCATAATTATTTGGCAAATTTTTATGTATGTACTATAAATAACTGCTTGATTGACTTTCAGGGAATCCTGTGTCAGCTGTGGTCACCTGCAATCTCTTTGTTGTGCCTGCACTGAGGAAGATGCAGGGCATCTTGGATCCTCGGCCAACCATCATCAAAGCCAGGGTAATGTTTTCTAATGACCAGGAACCAAAATTGAAGCCTAATAACAATTAAGGGTATGATTTACTAACCACCAAAACAAACATCTAGAATTTTATATTAGTTTTGAGGGAAAATGTGGTAATATTCTCCCCTTCGTGATACAAAATGGAGGGAAATTCTAAAGTAAATAATTTTCTCCAGGTAGAAGTCCATATGGGATATGTAATGATAAAATGGTCACTAGAGGGGCCGGCCCGGTGGCGTAGCGGTTAAGTGCGCGTGCTCCACTGTGGAGGCCCAGGGTTCAGTTCCCAGGCTCGCACCAACGCATTGCTTGTCCAAGCCCTACTGTGGCGGCATCCTATATAAAGTGGAGGAAGATGGGCATGGATGTTAGCCCAGGGCCAGTCTTCCTCAGCAAAAAGAGGAGGATTGGCGAAAGATGTTAGCTCAGGGCTGATCTTCCTCACAAGGAGAAAAAAAGGTCAGTAGAATGTGGCTGACACCACCCTAACAACTAAACCTATATGGAAGGAGAAACAAGAATTCCTTTTCCCCTGTGTAAAACTACAGAGAATAGCAATTTATCTGCTCACTTTTTCTGTGACCTCCCTGATAAATTTTAAACAGTTCAGAAAAAGAAAGTCAAAGGACTAGAAAGAGACTCTAGCAAATCATAAGAAAAGAGTTACCATATTGTTTGAAAAAGGACTAGTAAGGCTGAGGAATCATACCTATGGTAAAAGTCACTTGGAAATTAGAGTCCCCTTCTCCAACAACACTACCTTCAGTCTGATTTAATACTACTCAACTAATTATGTAACACACTTTCTGTATAACTAATGAACAATTTTCTTGGTATATAAACTACAATACCAAACCATTACTTGTATTTTTTTAAGATTTATTGAGATATAATTGATACACAAAAAAATGCACATATTTAATATCTACGTTTTGATGAGTTTGGACATATGCGAATACCCCATGATACCATAACCGCAATCAAGGTACCAAACATATCCATCACCCCCCAAAATTTCTCATGTTCTTTTGTGGTTTTGTTTGTTTATTTGTTCATTTCATGGTAAGAACATTTAACATGAGAATTATCTTCTTAACATATTTTAAAGTGCACAAAACCATATTGTTAACTATAGGTATTATGTTGTACAGCAGATCTCTAGAAGTTATTCACCTCGCGTAACAGAAACTTTATACCCATTGAGTAACGATTCCCCGTTTACTCCTCCCCTCAGCTCCTGGCAACCACCATTCTATTCTCAGCTTCCATGGCTTTGACTATTTTAGATACCTCATATAAGTGGAGTCATGCAGTATTTATCCTTCTGTGACTGGCTTATTTCACTTACCATAATGTACTCTAGGTTTATCAATGTCGCCACAAATGGTAGGATTTCCTTCTTTTTAAAAGTTGAATAGTATTCCGTTATATGTATGTATCACATTTTTCTTATCCATTCATCTGTCAGTGGACATTTGGTTTGTTTCCATATCATGCCTATTGTGAATAATGCCACACTGAACATGGGGGTGCAGATATCTCTTTGAGATCCTGATTTCAATTCTTTAGGATATATGCCCCGAAGTAGAATTGCTGGATCATATGGTAGCTCTATTTTTAATTTTTTGAGGAACCTCCATACTGTTTTCCACAATGACTGAACCATTCTACATTCCCACAGTATATACAACAGTGTATAAGGGTTCCAGTTTCTCCACATCCTGACCAATACTTCTTATATTTTGTTTTTTTGATCATAGCCATCCTAACAGGTGTAAGGTGATATCTCATTGTGGTTTTGATTTGCATTTCCCTGAAGATTAGTGATGTTAGCACTCTTTCATATACACGGTGGCAATTTGTATGTCTGCTTTGGGGAAATGCCTGTTCAAGGCCTTTGCCTATTTTTTAATCAGGTTATTTGTTTGCTTATTGAGTTGTAATATATTCTTATATATTTTGGATACTAACCCCTTTATCAGGTAGATGGTTTACAAATATTTTTTTCCCATTCTATAGGTTGCCTTTTCATGCTGTTGATTGTTTCCTTTGCTGTGCAGAGTCTTTTTACTTTGATGTAGTGCCACTTGTCAATTTTTGGTTTTATTGCCTGTGGTTTTTGTGTCAAATACAAGAAATCATTGCCAAGATCAATGTCAAAAAGCTTTTCCCCTATGTTTTATTCTAGCAGTTTTACAGTTTCAGGTCTATACATTTAAGTCTTTAATCCATTTTGAGTTGATTTCTGTGTATTGTGTAAGATGAGTCCCATTCTTTTGCATATATATATATCCAATTTTCCCAATACCCAAACCATTACTTTTCAAGAGCTCTGAAATAAATTCAGATATGACAGAATGCTGTGATTAGTTGGCAGGAAGCACATAAAAACATAGAAGAGGAAGAAGAAATATTAATAAAATATTACTCTGGGGATATATAGGATAAAAACATTAAGAAAATCTAGGCTTCAGATATTTTCAACATTGACCTTCTAAATACTGAGGCTTTGTAGACTAGTAAATGAAGAGATATTCTTCTTTTCTTAAAAATTCAACTAGATATTTTTGAAAACAAAGTTTTTTGGTTATTTTTCAATAATCACAGTGGTGGTCTTATCTTAAATTAAATGGAAAAAGAAGAAAAAAGCCATCAATGAACAAAAGATATTCTGATCAAGTCAGAAGGTCAGTCATAAAGCTTAGACATTCAAACCAGTAATACTGAATTTGCTCGCTATTTTCATATTTACTAAATTTAGGAAATAAGAAAAATCCACATTGTTATAAGAAAGAAAAAGAGGATTTCTCTTTGACTTTGGGGAGTTCTTATGAATCTTCTCATTTATTTCTCATTCTGACATTCACCATCTCTTCTTTAAAACTGACATTGTGGCAGCCATCCATTCTGACAACAATGATGAGACATAGTGCTCTGTAATCAAACTGATGCTTGGTACATTGTTCATGATGCCACTCATTCCTGTCAGTTCATGGAATTGAGAACTGGTCTAAGAATAAGTCAAACTCCTTTCTCACACACACAGAGCAGTGTCACTGGGACTCTCAGAATGGGTCAACAGTATGCTTATCTGTTTACTTCTTTTGTTTTTAACTCCCCAAATCACCCTCACACCTTTACTGACATAACTGCCATTTTAGAACATAACCTTATTCACTTCCTTGAAACATCGTAAAGCTTATTGTCTCTATTTCTGACCATCCAAGGTGCAGCTTATAAATGCCACTTAGTACTGTTCTCCAAAATGGTTGCCACAATCACAACCTCTCCCAATTCTGCTTTCAGGAAGTGAGGTGGATGTTAAATGTTGGTGTCAGTAACTCACACTGCTGGACTCTGATGTAACTGTCCTATGAGTAGGGCAATGCTGCATTATTTTAAAAGGTCCTCACAAAAAATGTCATCCTTTTATATCAACACATTCTGAAGAGCATCATTTTAAAATAAACACTTGCCTGGAGACTGGGAAGATGGCAGTGTAGGAGGACTCTGAATTCACTTCCTCCCACAGACACAACAAATTTACAGTTACCTGTGGAACAGTTACCTCTGAGAGAGAATTAGAAACTGGATAAAAAGAACTCCCACAACAAGGAACAACACTGGCAGATGTGGAAGAGGCAGAAATACTTTTTTGCTGAGGAAAAAACAAATTCTAGCCACAGTGCTTCATGGCTGGGAGCAATCTTAAGTTTGTTATTTATGAACCTCATGGTAATCACAAACCAGAAACCCATAATAAATACACAAAAAATTAAGAGAAAGGAAGCCAAACATAATACTAAAGAAAGACATCAAATCACAAGGGAAGAGAGCAAGAGAAGAAGAAAGGAACAGAGAAGAACTACTAAAACGCCCAGAAAAAAGTAACAAAATGGCAATAGGTACATACTTATCAGTATCTACTTTACATGTCAATGGAC